AACAACATGCTGGTCATGCCAGAATGGTTGGAAGAGCAGGAACTTGTTGAGTTACCCATGTCTCATTAAGCAGCAGGAGGAGGACTGTTGTGTTGAAAGTAGCCTATGCTTTTGCCAGCCCTGGAAACTGGAGGAAAACTGTTTTACATGAGGCTGCTTTTTGTGTCTGCACTTGTACAGGAAAAGTCAAAGAGGGTTAGGAAGAGCCCTGTGATAACACAGTCTTCAAACAGAGGAGCCTCTGAGAAGTATTTTCACAAAGTACAGTCTATCCTATCAACCAGTTCAACTGACTGGCTGGAATTCCTGTTCGAAGGCAAATTTGTGAACACCATCTCCTAGGAATGGGGAGATTCCAGATCCTTCAAACTGTAGAAGAAAACAGTTTGATTGATGAATTTTGACAAAATCTAAGAACTGCAGAAGAGAGGACCCACTTCATTACGCCTACAGATTTTTTGTATTTTCAATAGTCCTTTGCCAGCAGCATGCCACCTGCCTGAAGACAGCTTCCAAGAAAAAGAATTTAGGATGACAGAAGTGACTTCTGTTGACTGTTAGAGCTGACAAATGTTGACCACAAAAGAGCCCTGCTTCTTATGGGCAAAGCAACAGTTGCACTTCTGTGTGCTTTTTTTCAGACTGGCATCCAGCAACATTTGTCCTTGACCCGGTGTAATAGGTTTTGAAAGCTATGGGATCATGTAGCTGTAGCTAATAAGGAAATGTGGTGAAGTACTTAGAGCATATCGCTTCATTTGTGGGTTTTTTTTTCCTTCCCTCCCTTGTAACTATTTTGGAGCAATCAGACTGATCTAGCGATGCAGAAAAGGACCAAGCTGCTGCACAAACACTCACAATGTTTCACATGATGAAGCTGATCACAGCCTGGGAAATTCAATACAATCTCTCAACATCCCTATTAAATAAACTGCTTCTAGTAGGAAATTATTTCTCCTTCCTACCAAATTGTATCGAAAAAAATACCAGATTTGGTTGACTTCACCCAACTGTCAATCTGGTGGTGGTTCTTTGACACCTGCATGAATTTCACCACCAAGCAGGATGTCTGGAACAGCCATTCAAGGTGTCCTGTGGAACCTCTCACTTATGAACTGCTTCACGCTTTGCTGCAGGTGAAATTCTGAATGCTGGGGACATGTTTGGAGCCCTATATGGGCTTCCTCTTCCTTTCTGCGATAAAGAATGACGTTTGGAAGCAACAGGTGGAACAATTGCTGACAAACTCCCTGCCAAGCAACTGGCAGAATGAAGTTGAGCTTGAATGAGTTTGGACTAGATTTATCTTGTGAAACAACGGCATGGGTAATTCATAGTGTGAATAACAGTTTGCATGGGCACACAGGCAGTCCTCACTGTGAGGGGACATTGCAAGGTTAACGGTATGTAATGGCTAAAATGGGAAGTAATGGGTTCAAAATGTTCAAAAAATGTGGAGGAGTCAAGTTCCCTTTCCTTTAGAAGCTTCCTTTCCATTTGGAGAACAGATTTTGGAAGGTATGTAGATGTATAAATATGGAGAGAAGCATTCGAAGGCATATCCAGACTTTACAGTGCCTCTGGCTCTTGTGAGGTTTTTGTTCAGATACGTATTTAGAATTGCATAAAAGATCATATAATTTATAATTTACACACAAGTGTTCAGCTACACATTCATAACTTTGAGTTATTGGGAATGTCTGAGATTAAGAATACACTAGATGCTTTGTATTTCTCCTCAGCACTTCCGCTTTTATTTTACAGACCTGTTCCATTGCACAATAAAAACATTAAAATCGATCTGTTGTGTATTTGGCTTGCACAAAACTTTAGCCAGTTGCTTATGTGTGTGCTTTGACAATCAAATATCCTGCAGCTGACACACATCACGAATTTCTTGAGTCCAGAGAAGACAATGAAATAGCCACGTTAATCATCAGACACAGCAGATGAGCATTTTCTGTGGAGGAGCTGGGTGGTTTGGGCAAACTGTGCAAGTTGTGCAGCTCCTGGACGAGATGTGCTGAGGCAGCACTCGCCCTGTGAGCAGAAGTGGATTTGCATTGAGTGGAAAATGGAACAATTGATTAGAATAGCTTCAATTTTTGTTGTCATGTAGAATCGTGTGTCGGTGCCCAGGCGCCGGCCGCGGGGGCTCTGTGAGGGGAGCCTGGGGCCGGTTTCAGCTGGTTCTGGCCGGTTCCTGCCACCCCACCACAAGGCGCAGCCCAACACCTCAGGGAAAATGGGTTTAAGAAAGGGCAAAATGCTGCCAGCGAGGGGAAAAATTTGAGGGGAAATGTGTGAGGATAGTTGTGCGAGCCCTGAGGGGAGCAGAGGAGGAGGAGGAGGAGGAGCTGAAGGCCCCCAGGCAGGCATTGCCCTACTCAGCAGAAGCTCCTCCAGTGGCCCTGTGGGGAAGAGTTAAGTGTCGGCCATATAAACAGCCCTGACACCACAGGGGAAAAGGGGCTTTTTGATGTTTGGGCTGTTCAAGTGTTTCAATAAAGCACTAGGGAGTGACCCCACAGGGAAATTCTAATTCATCAGATAAATTAGAGAGAAGATATTTAACGGGGGGGCATGGGGGACCTTGAAATTTCTCATGCTGCAAAATCCAAACCCCACAGAGAAGAACATCTTCACCGAGTAGCGTAGCTGTTGGCCCAGCTTCTGTTACAGTTACATCTGTGTTTGCTCTTATTCATCTGGTTTTGCCAACATAGATAAAGTCATCCGGAGTCTTGTCTTTCTTTACATTGTACTTCAGAGTATTTAGTAAGATCTTGAACCAAACGTTATCAAAGTGGATGATATTATTTCAACAAACACTAGTGAGCTTTGGGTCTACTTTTGTCCTAATAAGTGACAGCAGATCAAATTTAACACAGCAACGGTGAGTGGAAAAAGATGAGCCAGGTTAACTGCACCATTTTAAGCATATAAAGCATACTGATTATCTGGAAAGTTTAATCAAAGACCTAGAATTCAGATGATTTTTTAAGGCAATTTTGTGTGAGTCAAAACAAAAAAAAAAAAGAAAAAAAAAAAGAATCTGCCTTGTTTCTGTGGTTTTGTCTGGTGTGTTTCTTTTTCATCTAACTTTTTGTATCTAATTATACCATTAAATCTTCCTAATATATATCTGAAGATAAAAGGTGACAGCTCTAATGGAAAGAACTGATCACAAATTATTTTTTTTCTTGGCAATCTCTGTGGTAAATTTGTAATATGCATACGAAAACAGAGAACAAATCTTAACAATAAATTGAGGCCATTTCATTTTGGATGACTGTCCACTGAGGATTGTCCTCACTGCAGCTGGCCTCAGAATATCATTGATGTTGGTCAGAAACAATCTACTCGTTAATATCCAGGATGCAAAGTCCCTTTGACATCTGCCATCTCTGTTCCACAGTCAAACTCTCACCGGTGCAATATCATCTGTAATTGAACTTGCGAATTGCTTCACTTTCTGAAATGCTGACTGCTTAATTATGATGGGGAAAATAGCATTCTGCAGCCATAAGCTCAGATAACTATGTACTTCTGAAACTCTATAATTATATCTGTGAATAATACTTGCTGTGATTTATGTTAATACCAGCGGCGATACGCAGGAGGACCACTCTGCAGACCTTGTCTTACTTCAGTGTGGAAGGGAGCAAAGAAGCAGAATGAACCACAAAACAGAGAGAAGGGAGGAAGTGCAGACTTGGGCCTTGCTTCCTTTTGTCACAAAGGTGTTCCAAGTTCACTCAAACAGGCTTCAAAGAGATGGTGCAGCTCAAGTCCCAGCTAACCCACAGGTTTTCCATGGCGTATTGTCCAGTCAGTTAATTTATCCTCAGCTTCAGGTCTCCATCTGAAAAACAAGGACTGCAAGGACTGATTTGCAGGTATACTCTGAGGCTTCAACATGGAGACTGCTCTGAGATGCTTGAATACTACATCTACATGAATTGACCTGAGTACCTCTATAACCAAATGGAAGCCTTTCTTTCTACTAGTTCTTGTTGTAGTCTGAAACAGGAACTGTGAGGCAACTTTGTCTGAAATAAGCTCATTCAAAACAAAACTGAGATACTGGTGATGACTCTGGATGAGCCATTCATAATGTCTCCCTGCTAGATTCACACAGCAGATAGGTTGTTGATAAATCTTTAGTTTCCTGAAGAACCGCAGTGATTTTTTTTTCCCCCCTGATTTTCTCCATCTTTTATTTTTTCTTGTGAAAAGGAACATAGATAGTCCTCTCTCTGTAGATGATTAATTACTCTGTAACAAAGCAGCCGTGGAGCCTGGCAAGATTGCACTCAGATTGCAGTCTTAAAATAGTAGATGGACTTGATGTTTTTTCCTTTCAACCATCTTAGAATTGTTGCCATAAGAATGAAGGACAATTGCATTGCTCTTTATTGCCATTTCTTGTCATATGAATAGGTTCATTTAGTGCCACCATCTTATGTTGTTATGAAAATGAGACATCTGATCTTAAGACTGTTGTATCCTTTCTACTCTGATCAAGAGCCAAATCCTTGGGTCCAAGCGTAGATTTGAAGTAAAGGCTCTACATCCTACATTTGCACCATGAGGTTACAAGCTTTACAAAAATGATGCAAGGTTGCCCACTCCTTTTTCATATGCTAGAAAAGTATGTGTAAGTTTATATATTTCAGGATAAAAAGAGATTGACCCTAAAAAGAGGGAGTAGCAGAATTAGGATTGGAACTGAAATAATGTTTTTTCTTGATCCCATAGTCAGTTGAGTATGTTTGGTTCTTTTCGTTTGTTTTGGTTTGTTTTATAGAGATACTATGTAGAACATTTTGGGTTGTGGACAAAAGGTAAGACATTCTCATCATTGGGAGTCACTAGGCACATAGCTGCTTCAAGGTTCCTCAGAGATAGAGAAGATCTATGGGCAGTAACTAAACTAAGTAAAGCTATGTGGCTGAGTAAATCTACAGATTAAATCTAGACAAAACAACAAAAATACCAGGCAAAAAAAAATGTGTCAAATTCATTTGGTTAAGCATTAATCTTCAAATATAGACTACTGGTTTGGGTTGGTGTTTCTTTTAGTCAAAGTGTACAAATCGACACCCTAAAATCAACTTTGTGCAGAAGGCTTGACAGAGAAATTCCTCATGATTAATAAGTGCAGCTCCACTGAGATCAATGGTGATATTAAAGCTGAGGATAGGACTCGGCTTTCTCATTTGCCAGCAGTATATGAAATGATTGTTTATGCTGGCACTCCAGTGAGACATGAATTGGAAGACAAATACAAAAATTACAGTGCAAAGCTTAGTTGCCACTTGAAAGGTGGTTCATTTAGTTTGCTTTGCAGTTTGGGTGCATTCATATACACACATTGAATCATATTCAAAAGAGGTCGAAGTTATGTCTTTTTTTTGCGTGGTTGCTTAGTTTCTTCATTTCCTCTGGAAAACCTGCTTTTTTTTTGTCACCAGGAGACCCCTTTCCTTGATAGGCTTCGATTTATTTTCTCTGTTCTTACAGCCTCGTGTAACTCTGGTTCCCCTGTGCCCTTGTTTATCTGTAGACAGTGATTAGGAAATGTTTTATCTTTGGTACAGGTAGAGGGATGTGTATTGTCTGCAACTTCTATGGCTGAAATGGTGAATGAAAATAGTAACAATAGAATATATGAATAACTAGGTGAAAGGCAGTCTGATGAGTATATGGTCTTTCACACACTCCTTTGTGCAAGTGTATATTGAACATAACATCTGTATATCACAAAATCAGTGCTTGGAATTAATTGGTGCTTTCCCTGGATCTGTTTCTCTCAGGGCAGATATCAGTGGATGGATTTATGCGGTATCTGAGTGGAGAAGAAAACGGCGTCGTTCCACCTGAGAAACTGGATTTAAATGAAGATATGTCTCAACCACTGTCACATTATTTCATCAACTCCTCACACAACACCTACCTCACAGGTACAATATTGGAGAGATCTGATTTCTTCTTTTACAAAGATTCGTAGCATATTTGCAGTGACACCAGAAAAAAATATCCTAAAAGCATCAGCAGTAGCTGCTGATGGAGCTTAGTCTTTAGGGAGGCAAGGGTAGTACTTGATTGTTCTAACTGCTACACACAGACATCAAAAATACTTTCATTAACAGGTGAGCAGCAGCTGCATTGTACCCATAAGGTCTGGTCTGAAGTTTAGTGAAGTCTCTGGAAAGTTTCCCTCAGATTAGGTAGGATTCCAGGTTAAGGTCCTTATCTGGGGAGGAGAGGGGACTTCTATGACAACCAAGGGTAGCTGAACAAGTATGCAAAGCAGAATATGGGAAGCATCTCTGTAGCTAACAAATTTGACCCTAAATATTGAATTTGACAGTTTGCTGAGCTCCGTGAAATTTGTGTTGATGCAGAGATTAGGGAGGTTCCAGCATGGCTTTCTGACAGTCCATTCGTATCTGCAAGGAATGGAAATCTAGTCTCTGACTGTACCTAACGTCTAGGCTGAAATTTTTAGATGCTATCATGTTCTTAAAATAGCTGAGCACTTGGAAGCTCCTGTTGATTTGATTTAGAGTCTGAACTGTATTGTTTGCACAGCAAAGTCAGTGATGCTGTAAGATTCTGAAAAACCTAAGTTTAGGAATACAACTTTTGGAACTCATTTTTCAGGTCTAAGATGCTATTAAATGATCAGAAAATAATTACAAATTTATTATTTTGGTGTAGTTTATGTAGGAACAAACGTTTTTAACAAGCAGGTGTGCAGAAGTTCTCTCCTATTTGATTTGATGTTTGTTTTGTCCTGTCTTGTTTGCTGATATCTTAGTGTTATGTTAAAAAGAAATGCTACAGCATGTGCTGAAAACAGAACTCATGGATACTCTTGGATTTTTAATATTATTAACACACTTGCCTTAACTGACCAAGTTCTTCAGAATGCCAGTATGCTAAAACACAAACAAAACCATGCAGCAGTGATGCCCAGTTTAAACAGACCTTGTGGTAGTTACTTTCATCTGTTCTGTTTGTTAGAACACTTTCTACAGCACCTTCCAGTGCTTTC